TCAGGAACAACGGCCAAATAAAAGGTATTAGGGTAGGACAGGAGGAGCACAAGGTCGCTGCACTCTAAAACCCCACGAACGCGATACCACACCTGGTGACAGAAATGACCAATTATTGCAATCTCTCCAACTTCAAGGCCAACCTTAGCAAGTGTAAAATCCTCCCGTTACATATCACTGTGGAAGTCAAAGACACTTTACAACAGTCACATCAATTTACTTGGGCAACAAATGACATTAGATATTTGGGATAGCACATCCCTAAAAACATATCACGGCTATATGAACACTTCAGGCCGTAAACACAGATCTAACTTCATGAAATAAGCCTCCTTTTAGTTGGTTCTGCAGGCTGAGCATCCTAAAGATGAATATCCTGCCCCGAATCTTTTTTTTTTTAAATTCTTTATTTTAGGCATGGGCATGCAGTGTTAAGTACAAGCTTTCGTAATGACTTATGACAAGAGGTATGATGACAATGTTTAAACAGATAAGGTCAAGATGTGCTGCACTTTTTTTTTATAAAGAAAACAAGCTTATTCATAGTAAGCCAATACATGAGCTGTGAGGTAATAAAGACATGCAAAATGACAATAGATAAATGTAAACATGCTGAGCCTATGAGCAACTTAATCTAGCTTTTGTAAAAATTCCACCGGGTATGAATTCAAATGAGGATAAGATAAGGAAACAACACAGGTAGCCTGCATCCCTGCCCACATTAAGCTGCAAAGCATTATCCCCAGGCTTGGCCCCTGTCCTTCATGGTTTGTGGTGTGTGAGAGTGTGCACAATAAACATTAGTCCTACACACTGTCTATGACATAGCCTGCTGATCATGAAAGTAGTGAGTAGAAGCATGGCACCAATGAGTGACATCTAACATAACCATAGCTATTCTCTAATACCATGCAGGATGTGTAAGTAGTTGTTTAAATCACTGAAAACAATGCTTAACATTTCACCGCTTATGGGGTCGTGAGAGGGGAGAGAGGGGAGAGACATGAGCCCCTGCATAAAAGATAACGCATTGGAGAAAATCGGAGCTGGTGTGTGAGTTAACCGATCCCCTTTTGCGTCCGGTATGGCATGAAATCTGGAGAGTCCGGATGGATATAGCTACAGTAATGTTAAGGGTTTGAGTCCCATATATCCGCACCTCTCCAGCCCCTTACCGAGTCCTGAGCATGAAACACCCAAGTCCCTTTGCGAGACACTACCAGGCTTCCAGGCCGTTTGGCATGCAGCTTTCGTACTTATGGGGTGATGGTCTTCCACGGGAGAGAGGGTCTAGGGGGCTGTCTCAGTCTGGATTGCGGAACTCAAGGGTGGTGGTTCAGCGTGGGTCTGAGTCTTCGGCGCCGACGCGCCTTCCAGGGCGCCTGCTTCCGCTTCTTTACTGGCGATGCAGCGCTACAGCTTCGACCGGCATTTGCAGGCTGTGGAGTTGTCTGATGCGAGGGAGACTCCTTCAGGACCTCAGCCGTTGCACTCAGGAGACAGGTGAGCTTAAGCCAGAAGTCGGCAAGTAGCTTGTCTAATCTCTCAGAGAGAGTGGGTTGCAGGTCCTGTGGAGCTGAGTTGCACATGGTGTCCGCCATTTTGGTCGCTGCAGGCTGACCTCAATTTGTAAGAGTGCCGGAGTATCGCCAATATAGCTTAGGTACTGCTGCGTTGTCTCAAGTATTCTTTCCCTTGTGGGGGGGTCCCAAGCTTTGAGTTTACCGGGCACCTGTAGCTCCCGGCTGTTGAGCTTGCCAGTCGTGTAGGCCGCAATTATGATTTTGGGCCACAGGCTATGGAGTGTGACTCCAAGATTGTAGATATGAACTCCTCAGTAGTCAGGTTCAGCTGGCTAGTCGCTTGGGTGAGTTTTTAGGGTGCTTCAACACCAGAGAATTGAGCTTTTCACAAGATGTACGGGGAGCCCACATTAGACACGTCTGTCTGCCATGATGATCAGGCCCCGCCCCCCTGCCCTGAATCTGATACCTGCTGCAAGTCCTGCCTATATCAACACCTAGAGCATGGTTTACACAAATGAAAAAGAAGAAAAAATAGTGCGTAGGCGCTTCACTGAAATTATGACAGTTGGTATATAATAAATATACAATAAATGGTGTAACCAGTACCCTAGTGCTTCCCTTATGCACCAGATACAAGTAATACAATTAAAAAGACATGTACCAGTAAAAACACCTCCCCAGTGTGATCACAGAGAAAAATGGGTAATATTACCAGTACAAAGCTTGATGGCAATGCAACAAAGCATAGAGTTCAATTAGAAATATACACTAAAACAAGAAAAAGATTAAAAAAAACAACATAGTGCAAACTGTACAGTGACTGATGAATAATAGATGGATGTATGACTCTCACTCACATTATCAAGAGCCATCCCAGGCTCTGTAAATCAGGCTCAAGGGTGCCAAATATTGGCAAGCGATCCAAATAATTCAGGTAGATGGGACTCCAAATGTAAGTAAAAAATATATTTATTGTAAAAAAAAATTTATTAAAAAAATTAATACACTGCAGGGCACTATGGTGGTGGAACCCAAAACAGGCTATAGTAAAAGTATAACAAAATCGGAATTCCACCCATAGAGGTAAGTGGAATTCCGATTTTGTTATACTTTTACTATTGCCTGTTTTGGGTTCCACCCCCATAGTGCCTTGAAGTGTATTAATTTTTAAAATATAAATTTTTTACAATAAATATATTTTTAACTTACATTTGGAGTCCCATCTACCTGAATTATTTGGATCGCTAGCCAATATTTGGCACCCTTGAGCCCGATTTACAGAGTCTGGGACGGCTCTGGATAATGTGAGTGAGAGTCATACATCCATCTGTTATTCATCAGTCACTATACAGTTTGCACTATGTTGTTTTTTATCTTTTTCTTGTTTTAGTGTATACAGGGAGTGCAGAATTATTAGGCAAATGAGTATTTTGACCACATCATCCTCTTTATGCATGTTGTCTTACTCCAAGCTGTATAGGCTCGAAAGCCTACTACCAATTAAGCATATTAGGTGATGTGCATCTCTGTAATGAGAAGGGGTGTGGTCTAATGACATCAACACCCTATATCAGGTGTGCATAATTATTAGGCAACTTCCTTTCCTTTGGCAAAATGGGTCAAAAGAAGGACTTGACAGGCTCAGAAAAGTAAAAAATAGTGAGATATCTTGCAGAGGGATGCAGCACTCTTAAAATTGCAAAGCTTCTGAAGCGTGATCATCGAACAATCAAGCGTTTCATTCAAAATAGTCAACAGGGTCGCAAGAAGCGTGTGGAAAAACCAAGGCGCAAAATAACTGCCCATGAACTGAGAAAAGTCAAGCGTGCAGCTGCCACGATGCCACTTGCCACCAGTTTGGCCATATTTCAGAGCTGCAACATCACTGGAGTGCCCAAAAGCACAAGGTGTGCAATACTCAGAGACATGGCCAAGGTAAGAAAGGCTGAAAGACGACCACCACTGAACAAGACACACAAGCTGAAACGTCAAGACTGGGCCAAGAAATATCTCAAGACTGATTTTTCTAAGGTTTTATGGACTGATGAAATGAGAGTGAGTCTTGATGGGCCAGATGGATGGGCCCGTGGCTGGATTGGTAAAGGGCAGAGAGCTCCAGTCCGACTCAGACGCCAGCAAGGTGGAGGTGGAGTACTGGTTTGGGCTGGTATCATCAAAGATGAGCTTGTGGGGCCTTTTTGGGTTGAGGATGGAGTCAAGCTCAACTCCCAGTCCTACTGCCAGTTCCTGGAAGACACCTTCTTCAAGCAGTGGTACAGGAAGAAGTCTGCATCCTTCAAGAAAAACATGATTTTCATGCAGGACAATGCTCCATCACACGCGTCCAAGTACTCCACAGCGTGGCTGGCAAGAAAGGGTATAAAAGAAGAAAATCTAATGACATGGCCTCCTTGTTCACCTGATCTGAACCCCATTGAGAACCTGTGGTCCATCATCAAATGTGAGATTTACAAGGAGGGAAAACAGTACACCTCTCTGAACAGTGTCTGGGAGGCTGTGGTTGCTGCTGCACGCAATGTTGATGGTGAACAGATCAAAACACTGACAGAATCCATGGATGGCAGGCTTTTTGAGTGTCCTTGCAAAGAAAGGTGGCTATATTGGTCACTGATTTGTTTTTGTTTTGTTTTTGAATGTCAGAAATGTATATTTGTGAATGTTGAGATGTTATATTGGTTTCACTGGTAATAATAAATAATTGAAATGGGTATATATTTGTTTTTTGTTAAGTTGCCTAATAATCATGCACAGTAATAGTCACCTGCACACACAGATATCCCCCTAACATAGCTAAAGCTAAAAACAAACTAAAAACTACTTCCAAAAATATTCAGCTTTGATATTAATGAGTTTTTTGGGTTCATTGAGAACATGGTTGTTGTTCAATAATAAAATTAATCCTCAAAAATACAACTTGCCTAATAATTCTGCACTCCCTGTATTTCTAATTGAACTCTACGCTTTGTTGCATTACCATCAAGCTTTGTACTGGTAATATTACCCATTTTTCTCTGTGATCACACTGGGGAGGTGTATTTACTGGTACATGTTTTTTTAATGGTTTACACAAACCCGCAAAGTATTCACGTTCTTCATCTGGACTCATAAAACCCCGCGACTATCCTTCTCACTACTCACTAGGCCGAAAGACGAAGGGGGTCTGGGCTTACCCAAAATATCATAAGACAATTCTCCTGTCAAGGGTATATGACTGGGCACTCCCAAACTCCAGCTAACAATTGGTAAGGCTACTTTAGGGCCCCATTATATACGATAACATGGCACAAAACAGGTCAAACCATGTTACTCACCACCGCACACGCCATTACACCTACGCTCCGCATGTGGGCACAGCTCAGAAATCACCAACTGATATCCCCATACCTCTCACCACTGTATCCGATCACACACAATTATTTATTCAAACCAGGATAGGACGGTAAAACATTCAGAATGTACCACAACTTGGCGTACTTAAAGCTAGGGGACCTAGTAGGGGAATCAGGGATAAAACCACTACACACTCTTACTACTGATAACCCACAATCAGCAATCCAAAATTTTCAATACCACCAACTCCTACACTTTGTTAAAACGGGACCACTAGCCCACAACACTAATAGAGCCCAGACAACCTTTGAACAACAATGTGTCAAACAGACTGTAAAGAAAACACGTATTTCGATAATGTATGCCACGATCATATCTACACAACCCCACCACCTTATGTACATCACCACGACATGGGAAAGAGAACTCAACATGACCTTACCAGAAGAAAAATGGTTTAGAATATTCAAACAAATCCATAAATCCTCAAGGAAGACCATAGCACAAGAATGCAATTACAAGAGGGTGGCGAGGTGGCACTATACACCAACCAAACTCCAGTCCCTCTTCCCCAACTTGACCAACCAATGCTGGAGATACCATCAACCTAACGGCAACTCGGCGCATATCTGGTGGACCTGCCCAGAGATACAAAAATGGGAATGGGGGGAGTTGATTGGTATTATAGCCACCAATTGCTTGGTTGGTAACCTATACAGAGATTATGCTGTGGGTATACTGGTGGAGGGTTTGGTGGTTCGTACATCAGCCACTGTCTCGAGTAAAGTTGCAGTGTTAGTACCCTACCTCGTATTCCCACTAGCTGAGAGCCCACGAGAGGAATAAGAATAGACAGTGGTTATGGCAAAAGTAAATAAACGAAACAGGAGGAGAAAGCAACAATAAAGTTATGATGTCAATGAAATGGTAACGCTGGACTAGTCCCTGGATGTTGAGGGGATCTTGGCTATTATTATTATGTTATTTATATAGCGCCATCAAATTCCGCAGCGCTTTACAACGGGTGGACAAACAGACATGTAGTTGTAACCAGACAAGTTGGACACACAGGAACAAAGGGGTTGAGGGCCCTGCTCGATGAGCTTACATGCTAGAGTAAGGGCACAGCAGCTGCTTGGGCCCGATAGACCCTTCTGGTCACCGTTCCTGCCCTCAGCGGCTGTCGGCGGGGAGATTCCCAGTGTCCGCAGGTGGTCCTCCAGCTCCTGGTAAGTTTCAGCCTTAGGCCGTAATTAGGGCCGTGCAAGGTGAGCCCCACCGATATGGCACCTCTTTTGTGCGTAGCTGTTGGAGCAGTGGTCGCAGGGACCGGTGCCAAAGGAGAGTGTTCCTTGACAGATCTGGTTAAATTTTTACTGATGTCGGTTGTTTTTCACTGACGCTATATCGGTTGATTTTCATTGATGGCTGACGCTATGTCGACTGATTTTCACTGACGCTATGTCGGTTGATTTTTATTGATGCTGTCAGTTGATTTTTACTGATGCTATGTCGGTTGATTTTTACTGACGCTATGTCAGTTGATTTTTACTGACACTATGTCGGTTGATTTTCACAGCATTGGTACTATCCTTAACAGCCATGAGTGACACGCTAGAAAGGCTAAGTGGAGCAGGTTACCGAAAAAATAAAAAAATTAGGTGTGAAAAACAAGCCAAGGAGCTTGAACACACAGGAAAAATTGATCTGTGGCTTCTAATACTGAGCAGGGTGAGGAGGTAGTTAAAGGTTTAACTGCTGACATCTGTGAAACTGATGTAGTTGCTACATGCAGTTATGATACTCCACTAGCTAGCAATAGTATTGCCAGAGAAACTGAGGCTTCTGAATCAGGTCCTTCGAGTTAAATAGAATTTGATGATCATGTTGTACAAATAGGAGTGAGCTCTGACCCTGCTGAATGGGTTTTAAATGATTGCACCAGAGACCATGTGGCTAAACATGGAATAATTCAAAATGAGAATCTGGACTTTACACAGTCGAGAAGGCTGTATACTGACCATTCTAGGATGCTAACTAAACACCTTTTTGAAAAAGAAAACTTTAACAGAGAGAAACAAAAAAGGAGCTATTTACTCCAAGAGCAAAAGAGTAGTGTTTTGTGCTCCATGCCGTTTGTTTGGTGGCAAATCCCAGTTGGCAGAAAGTGGCTTCAATGACTGGAAAAATGGCACAGCTCGATTAAATGAACACGGGCATTCAGCTGAACACAAATCCTGCGCGCTATCTTTAAAATCAAAAGCATATACACTGGGGAAAATTGATGAAAGTCTTACCAAGCAGCGTTCTGATTAAATTCAATGTTGGAGAAATGTTTTTAAAAAAGAGTTGTTGCTGCAGTTAAGGCACTTGGCATTCGAGGGTTTGCTTTCAGAGGGAAAGATGACCATTTTGGTACCACACACAACGGAAACTACATGATGATGTTTGAATATCTGTCAGAATTTGACCCATTTATAGCTGAACAGATTGCCCGTTACAGCAATTCAGGAAAAGGAGTCACATCTTACCTCTTATTCGTTACCTGTGAGCAGTTTATTCAGCTTATGGTAGATACTGTTACAAAACAAACAGTTAAGGAGGCAAAGGCTGTGAAATATTATTCTATTAGTGTTGATTCAACACCTGATAGCTCCCACACAGATCAGCTGGCCTTTATCTTAAGGTATGTCAAGGAAGATGGCTTACCAGTTGAGCTCTTTCTATGTTTTATTTCAAATCCTAGACATAAATCGGAACAACTGCTTGGAGTGGTCCTCCCCACTCTTAAGGCATATGACCTTGATATTGCCAACTGTCGTGGTCAATCATATGACAATGCAAGCAATATGTCTGGCCATTATAGAGGATTCTGGAAAGAAACATACTTGCTGTGTATATTCCATGCTCTGCACACTCTTTAAATCTAGTTGGGAAGCAAGCTGCTGAAAGTTGTCCTGAAGCTTGTTCATTCTTTGGTCTCCTACCATACCTTTACATCTTTACTGCTTCCACTCACAGATGGGAGATTTTACAAGAACACTTATCATTTGAGCCCAACACTCTAGTGGTAAAGAGATTATCTGACACACGGTGGTCAGCCAGGGAAGATGCCTGTCGAAGCTTAAATTGAAATTGGACTCAAGTAATCCAAGCCTTATCAAAAATTAAGGAAAATACTGCAGAGGCACCAGGAACATGCAAGGAAGCTGAAGGTCTTCTGAATAAAATACAACATCTGGAGACTGCACTTATGAGTGGTTTGTGGGGTACTATCCTGGAAAGATTTGGTGCAGTTAGCAAAAAACTCCAAAGCATTGGTATTGATGTTGGAATTGTAGGGAAGCTGTATGAGCCACTGACCAAGTTTGTTTGAGAAACCAGAGTCATATTCCCGACTTTCAAAGCTGCTGCAATGGAAAAATCAGCTGTGAAGGATTATGAGACTAAGCGGAAAGAAGTACACGGAGGATTGTATGTTTGTTATGGGCATGTCGTACATTTAATTACTGTTCAGCAACTTCCAGCAAGACACAGGCAGAGGAAGCCCAAGAAAATCTTCACATTAACACCATTTATGTTCTTTGTGACAACTTGGTTGATGAACTTATGAGAAAAAAAAATGGCATATGACTCTTTCATTGGTTGGTTTAAATTCATTACTGATCTATCAAAAACTGAGCCATCAGCAATATCACAGCAAATAACCTTTGTTCTTCTTACAGAAAAGACTTTGAACAGGAGTGTTTTGTTGATGAGTGCTTCCACTTTCGTTCATACCTCATAAGTTCTTCTGCAGAAGATACCTCTGTTCTGTTGATGTCCCAAATGATAAGAGAGAGGATTGCAAAGCATTTATTTAAATGTGGACATTGCTCTCAGAATGTTTTTGTGTACTGCAGGAACTAACTGCTCAGCTGAGCGTTCTTTCTTGACTTTGAAGCCTACTTGCGATCCAGAATGGGAGAGGAAAGATTGAACTCCCTGGCAGTGTTGGCAATAGAGTCTGAGCTCACAAAATCTTTGAACTATGATGAGCTTATCAACAGCTTTGCCACACAGAGAATTTGGCAAAAGCCACTTTAATTTACAAGTATGTATTAGATCTAATAGTCCAATATTCAACAGTTTGCACTTATTTAAGGTAGAAATGTTTACAGTTTTGTTTGTTGTATTGTCACGTACAGTGGTGTATCCTGGTTTTGTTCTGCCCTAGGCAGGACAAAACTCAGGCACCCCCCCGCGCCACCCCCACCCGCGCAACCGACACCCAACCTTCCCCCCTGCTCCGCCTTCTAAATACACACACACACATTCACTGACAGATACGCATTCACTAGCTAACAGAAACACACAGTCACTAACAGACACACACTCACACACACACTAACAGACATCCACACTAACAGACATCCACACTAACAGACATCCACACTAACAGACACACACACACTAACACTAACATACATACACTAACATTAACATACACACTAACACTAACAGACACACACACTAACACTAACATACACACACTAACATACACACACTAACACTAACATACACACTAACAGACACAAACACTAACATACACACACACTAACATACACACACTAACATACACACACTAACATACACACACATACACACACTAACAGACACACTAACATACACACACTAACAGACATCCAAACACACACACACACACACTAACATACACACACACTAACATACATACACACACTAACATACACACTAACAGACTTCCACACACACACTAGTGTTTTTTTTTTGTTTTTTTATTTAACCCCCCCCCCAGCCTCCTTACCTTTGGTAATGCTGGGGGGTTTCTTCCTCTCCCTGGGGTCCAGTGGCTGCAGCGCTGGGCGGGTGGGCGGCCGGCGAGGGAGCTCTTCCCCTGAGCGCTCTGCTCTGCTCAGCTCCCTCGCGCGCCGCCAGCAGAGTGAGGCTAGGAGCCGGAATATGACGTCATCTTCTGGCTCCCGGCCTCACTCTGCTGGCGGCGCGCGAGGGAGCTGAGCAGAGCGCTCAGGGGAAGAGCTCCCTCGCCGCCCGCCCAGCGCTGCAGCCACTGCCGCCCAGCGCCCAGAATGTCTGTTAGCCGCGAGGCTAACAAGACATTTGCCTTGGGCATTTGGGGGGCGGCGTTTTTTGCCGCCCCCTGAAAAATGCCGCCCAAGGCAAATGCCTTGTTTGCCTCGCGGCTAATACGCCCCTGGTCACGTATCCATCCGCACATAAAAATGTGGTTAATAGCATTTACTGTCCACACAGGAAAAGTTCTGCTGAGGAGCAACCAAATCCATAGAAGGGTTAATGCTGAGCAGCAATTATGCAAATGGGAACCTGGTAACTGCCTTTGGGGTCAAAGGCTGGTTACAGCCTATCAGATCTAGAGGAGTGGTATTTAGGCCCAGCTCTCATCCTGCTCAGTGCCCTGTCGTGGTTTCCCTTGTGGAAACGAGAGCGCGTTATTGATTCTGGTTATTCTGGTTATTTGACTTTGTGACTTGACTGTTTTCTGGCATCCCTGACTCCTGGCTTTTCCTTATTGTTGTGTCTATTTCTGTATCCCTTGACTTCGGCTATTCCAGACTATTCTTTGGTACGTTATTCCGGCCATTCTAAGGTCTGGTATACGTTACCTATCAGTCCTCTGTGTTACACAATTCTACGCGCTGGATCATTCTGTAATCCTGACATGTATTCAACAAGTTGCATTTCAGTTTACTATATTTATATATTTAATTAAAGTTATCTAAGTTATTAAAAACCTCATCATGTCAGTTTCATGATGGATTGATTGATGTAAGTAAAAGTGTTGATAA